AAGTCGAGCCCAGAGAAGGCAAGGCAGTCAGCAAGCGAACAAAGCTCTATCTTCATGAAAAACGACTCAATGTCTGAAATTGACGAAGAAGACGAGACTGATTGGGGAACGAAGGGCGTATTCTGGCCGTGGCGTATTTTCCGGGGAAATTCCCCGGTGTTGAGGCCATACGTGCGATCAAGGCTCAATGGGAGGTCCCGGTGAAGTTTCAGATCCATCCGACGGGGTGGATTGTGTTCAAGTTCACAACGGACCAAGACAGGATGAAGGTGGTGGAGTTGGGGAAATTCGAACATGGACTGGCGACTCTCTACATTCGCTCCATGCCGGAATTCTTCAATTTTGACATCAACGACATGATGTTTGTACCGGTTTGGGTGATCATACGCAACATATCGGCGGAGCTCTACAACAAGAAGGCGTTGAGTAAGATCGCTCAGAAGATAGGCAAACCGGTACAAATGGACAAGGTTACGAGTGAGATGGGGAGGCTAGGTTTCGCTCGGCTGCAAGTGGAGGTGGACGCATCGAAACCGCTACGACGTTCTCTCACGTTGATCAATGCGAAAGGGAAAAGCTATGAGGCCCCAATCGAGTATAGTTACGAACCGGTGTTTTGCTCGAAATGCCAGACTCTTACGCATAAAACTGATCAGTGTCGAGCAGAGGCGGTGGTGAAGCGAGGACGTAGCCGCAAACCGAAACCGGTGGTGAGTGCTGCACAAGATCTACCGGTAACTGCGGTTTGGGCTGGAAAACGGACGGTACTTGTGGAGGACCCGGAGCCTGAAACGGGCGACAAAGCCGTGGGTGCTGTGGTGATCGTGAGTGCTGAGGATGATGAATCGGAGGATGGCTCGACTGAATGCTATGCTGCGGATGACGATGACCGGGGATCCTTGGTGGAGTTTAATGCCCTACACTCCCCAAAATCCCAGGGTACCGCCCCTAAGTCGAAATTCACTATCAAAAAGAAGAACCTCCCACCGACTGCAATTTTGCTACCAAAAGACGTGGATTTAGAGGAGGAGGTTGAGTCGAAGTCTGTTCGGGTTGAGAGCGAGGATGCAGAGCCGCGGGGGGGCCAGAAACCCCCAAAGGCGAAATGATTGTGGGCTGCTGGAACGTGAGGGGGTTGCTCAACTCTCTCACGCAGAAGGAGGTCGGGGACCTCATAGGTAAGCACAAACTCTCGGTTTGTGGCTTATTGGAGACGAAGATTTGGGACCCGGGAACGCTGAACTCGATTATGGAACGGCGGTTCCGGCACTGGATGAAGGCCGATAATTTCCACCTCCACACGGCAGGCCGGATCCTTGTCATTTGGAACCCGGCAGTGGCTCGGGTGGAAGTTCTCGGTATGACGTCGCAGGTGATCCACTGCAAGGTAACGTGTTTGGTGACCCAACGACTGTTTTACGTGAGTTTTGTGTACGGTCTTTTCACACCGGTCACCCGACGACCGTTGTGGCAAGAGGTAGAGGATTTCGGGGCGAACATCACCGATCCGTGGGTCTGCATGGGTGATTTCAACGTGGTGCTCAAGCCGGAGGAGAAATCGGGCGGTAATTTGATGACCCCCTACCTGTTGAACGATATACAGACATGCTTCCGTCGAAGTGGACTTGAGGACCTACCTTCGACCGGATTTCAATATACATGGACGAACCATACGGTGTGGAGCAAACTTGACCGTGCGCTTGTCAATCAAAAGTGGCGTGATGTGTTCGAAGCTAGCTCGGCACACTTCCTGCCGTTCGGGGGCGTGTCGGACCACTCTCCGGTGATTGTGCGACTTGGTGGGACCGAACCCCCGGCTTCTAGGCCTTTCCGTTTTTTCAACATGTGGACTCAGCACGATGATTTCCAACGGGAAGTTAAGGAAATATGGACGGCGAACTACCGGGGCAGCCGTCAGTGGGCCATGTGCAAGAATCTCAAGGCCCTAAAGCACCCCCTTAAACGATTCAACAGGCGAGAGTTCGGGCACATATCTGAACGGGTGAAGCGTGTGGGGGGGGAGCTTGAGGAAATTCAGCAAAACTACCATAGTGACCCCCATAACCAACAATTATGTGGGGAAGTGATGGCAAAGGTGGAGAAATATCGGTTCTTGGCGAAAGCAGAGAAAAGTTTTTTCTACCAAAAGGCGAAGTTGCACCACTTACGGGACTCAGATCGAACGACGAAATTTTTCCACGGGATGGCCAAGCGAAATGCTAAACGCAACAATATTACAGCACTTCGCAAGGTGGATGGCACGCTCACCACATCCCGAGACGAGGTACTTGGCGAATTTGAAACTTTCTATCGAAACTTCTTGGGCACTCGCACTACTGGCGAACCGGTTGATCATCATGTTGTTGCCACGGGGCCGAAATTGAGAGATGAGGACCGTGACGGGCTGACCCAACCGGTGACGAGGGAGGAGATACGGGAAGCACTTTTTGATATTGCTGACGATAAGGCGCCGGGACCGGATGGGTACACGGCCTTATTTCTCAAGGCTGCATGGGCGACAGTAGGGCCTCTCCTCACCGATGCAGCTTTGGAATTCTTCCGCAGTGGTGAGCTGCTAAAACAATGGAACGCTACGGTACTGGTTTTCATACCGAAATCAGCCCAAGCCGAAACGGTGAGTGATTTTCGGCCTATCGCCTGCTGCAACGTAATTTACAAGGTGATTGCGAAGGTTATTACGAAGCGTCTTGAGAGGGTGTTACCTTCTATTATTGATCGTGCTCAGTCTGCCTTTGTGAGTGGGCGTTCGATTACAGACAACATACATATGGTGGAGCAACTCATGAGGGGTTACGAGCGCAAAAGGATTTCTCCCCGGTGCATGATTAAGATGGATTTACGGAAAGCCTACGACTCCGTAAATTGGGACTTTCTGAGGGCGATGTTGGTCGAGTTGGGGTTTCCGGACTTAGTGGTTCGATGGATCATGGAGTGTGTGTCCTCGGTTTCATACACGGTGTCGGTTAACGGAGTGACGAAGGGGTTTTTTCCGGGGATGAGAGGGCTTCGTCAAGGGGACCCGCTATCCCCTTATCTTTTCGTTATATGCATGGAGTACCTCTCGCGATTGCTGCATACACGAGCAATGGAGCAAGAGCTCAATTTCCATCCGATGTGCCATGTGCACAAATTGACGCATCTCATTTTCGCCGACGACTTGATGCTATTTTCGAGAGGAGATGCTGCATCCATACGTACACTCGCCACTACGGTCATTGAGTTTGGCCGCGCATCGGGGCTTCAAGCGAACAACTTGAAGTCGAATATTTTTCTCGCCGGAGTCCATGAGACGGAACGCACATCGATAGTGGAGGAATTCGGATTTGCCACCGGCACCTTCCCTTTTCGATACCTAGGTATTCCACTCGCCGCGTCTAAACTGCGAGTGCTGAATTACCAACCGCTGCTTGACAAAATCGAGCATGCCATTGGAGCTTGGAAGGGGCACACGTTATCTTATGCGGGTCGTTTGGAGATTTTGAAGGCGGTGGTGCAAGGTACGTGTTGCTATTGGCTCTCGATTTTTTCGGTGCCGATTACGGTTATTGGTCGTATTGAGGACATGGCGCGGGATTTCTTGTGGGGAACTAGTGCTCCGAAAGTTGGTTGGGAGCACTTGTGCAAGCCGAAGGCCGATCGGGGGCTGGGGCTTCGGTGTTTGCGCACGTGGAACCGTTGCTTGTTAGTGAAGGACCTCTGGGATATCCACTTGAAAAAGGACTCCCTGTGGATCCAATGGGTGAACGAGTTTTATCTCAAAGGCGCGGCCGTATGGGAATGGCAACCGTCGACGACTTCACCCCCGTTTTTTAAAAATATTTGCAGCATTCGGGATGAAATCGTGGGCAAGGCGGGGTCAATTCCTTTGCTTCTTGCTCGATTGGAGGAGTTTTCGAGCACGGGGAAGCTCATGGTAGGACGAGTATACGAGTGGATATCGGCCCCTGCCGGGGGGCCGCCTTGGGGCCGACGGATTTGGGATCGCTCAATGACTCCCAAACATTCTTTCATTCTATGGTTGGCTGCCCTTGATCGGTTGCAAACCCTAGATAATGTGTCAAAGTTCGCGACGGTGGAGAAAACTTGTGTTTTGTGCGGAGCGGGGAACGAAGACCGTGAGCACCTCTTTTTTCGATGTAGTATTTCGAGGGATGTATGGGACCGTATTCGCGTTTGGTTGGGGATCGCCCAACGACCGACGACGCTACGTGCGGCTTTGAAGTGGCTTGTGAAGGATGTCAAGGGCAAATCTTATCGAAGCAAGGCGAGGAGATGTGCTTTGGCGAGTGTTGTGTACCACATTTGGGCAGCTCGGAACAGGGCGAAATTCGACATGACGGAAACGACGGCTACCGAAATTACTACGAGGATCAAGACCCACGTTTACTCAGCTATGTTTATGCAGCATCCGGAACTGACGACCAGCAGTGGAGGCCGATTCATGATAGGCCAAATCGACGCAAACTAGGGCTTGGGGCTTACCCCCAACCGATATTTTTCTGTTATCGAACCTGATGTTTTTCTTTACGTTTTTACGCTTTTCGATGGCTTATAGCCAACCGTTAGTGCTTCAATTCCCTCGGGTATGCCCGTTGTAATTGTCTACGACTTTTTTTGATTTATATATTTACATCTTCAATCAAAAAAAAAACATGACACTTGGCCAACTATTACAAGTATAAAGGGGCAGTTTTCATGCATTTTCAGGCCTCAACCGCTCCATAACTTCCTCAAATCCGCCCACAAGGCTGATTTCCGAAGCCCATCTTGATCGGGCGCGCCCGCGCGCGCCGAACGGCCCAAACAGCCCGGCCGGTTGCTAGACAGCCCATCTGCCTTGCCTTTTCCGCACGTTTGCTTGCCTTTACCGATACTTGCTAGTTTTTGCCCACACGGTCATCGGTCACGCCCGCTCATCGGGCTGCCTTGCTTGCCTTGCCAATTTTGCCCACACTTGTCAAGTCGTGGTCGATTTCCCTCGAACATTCGTTTGCCCACGTTATCGGCCGCATGCCGATTATTGCCCACGCTTTGTCCGTCTTTGCTGCCGAGCAACGCCCGTGCCAGCCACAAGTAATATCGATCACCGTTCCCACTTGAATCAAGCCGATCCTTGCTTTTCTCGGCCAAGCACCCCAAATGCTTGCCGATCACCCGACCACTCATTGGCCGGTTGTGTGGCTGCCTTGTGCCAATCCCCACTTGGCACCATTTATCGGTCATGACTCGGCCACACTCGAGTCATTACCGATATCACCGATTAAGGGGGTAACAGACCCACTATCCTACCATCGAAAGTTGATAGGGCAGAAATTTGAATGATGCGTCGCCGGCACGAGGGCCGTGCGATCCGTCGAGTTATCATGAATCATCGCAACGACGGGCAGAGCCCGTGTCGACCTTTTATCTAATAAATGCATCCCTTCCAGAAGTCGGGGTTTGTTGCACGTATTAGCTCTAGAATTACTACGGTTATCCGAGTAGCAGGTACCATCAAACAAACTATAACTGATTTAATGAGCCATTCGCAGTTTCACAGTCTGAATTAGTTCATACTTACACATGCATGGCTTAATCTTTGAGACAAGCATATGACTACTGGCAGGATCAACCAGGTAGCATTCCTTACCGACACCGGCACCGCGCGATACAAGCCGCAAGGACTCGATCGCGACGGCGACGGTCGTCGTTCGCATAGAGCGTGAAACGCATTTTCTTGGGGTAAATAGAGGGCCAACGCCTCGTACCCACTCAAT